TCTGAGACTCATTGTAATGTAGGTAAATGGAACAAAATGTGAGGAGCTGATCCACCAATGAGTTTATTAAATTTTAGTTTTGGAGAGTCTATCGTGGTTATGCCAAATGAATTTATTGTGTACTTTAAGATACACGACATACTACACAGTCCATTAAATGATAGGGCTAGCGTCATCTGTACAATAATCCAGTTATAAATGGAAATGCTGTAGGAAGGACCCTCTATTTTCCACAATAGGAACCTCATTTCCAAGAAAATTTGAAGTTTAACACTTGGATATTCAGCATAGGCGTGTGCAGCACATTTCATTGGGTGTGCACCAAGGGAATTTTTTTTTTAAGGCAAATATTTATTGAATACTCAATCATAAAGGACATTATTTTTATTCATCAAACTAAAGAAACTAAAACTTAACTCAACTTAATTTTTTTAAATTAACAGTTAACCTTTACTTAAAAAATACAAACTTAGGTATGGGACATTGTACTTCTTAGTTTGTTTTTTACATGTGCAATTCGGCGCTTATTGCATAATACAGCAATCCATACTTTAAAACTAAAAGAGCATACCATGCGATTAAATTAAAATGCAAAGCCACTTTTTTTAGACATTATGGCTACGTCTACACTGGCAGCTTCTTGCGCAAGAACTCTTTTGTGGAAGAGTTCTTGTGCAAAAACTCTTCCAGAAGAGAGCGTCTATACTGGCATGTGCTTTTGCGCAAGAGATGTGCTTTTGCGCAAGAGCATCCATGCCAGTGTAGACGCTCTCATGCGCAAGAAAGCGCTGATGGCTATTTTAACCATAGGGCTTTCTTGCACAAAAAATTCATGTTGCTTGTCTACACTGGCCTCTTGGGCAAGAACAGTTGTGCAAGAGGGCTCATTCCTGAGCGGGAGCATCATAGTTCTTCTGCAAGAAGCCCTGATTTTATACGGTAGAACGTCAGTTTACTTGCACAAGAACACACGGCCAGTGTAGACAGGCAGCAAGTTTTCGTGCAAAAGCAGCCACTTAGGCACAAGATCGCGCCAGTGTAGACACAGCCTATAGGGTTACCAGGTAGTCTTAAAAAAAATACCGGACACGCTTCATGAGGCAGGAGGAAAGACCAGCCGGGAGGGGAGCGGGGCTGGCTGGGAGGAAGAGGCGGCACGCCAGTGCTATTCAGTTTCATACAACAAATTGCAATCTGTTCCTACTGAATCAAACCTAATGGAGAATTGTATATTAACCCTTGGTTTTATATTTTTATTTTATTTACTTGGAGGACCATGGGAAGGGAGCAAGTTTATTTAGATAACTTGCTTGCATTCAATTTTAGTAAAGTACTAAACAAATAGCTCCAATGGCACTCCCAGTGCTATTCAGTTTCATACAACAAATTGCAATCTGTTCCTACTGAATCAAACCTAATGGAGAATTGTATATTAACCCTTGGTTTTATATTTTTATTTTATTTACTTGGAGGACCATGGGAAGGGAGCAAGTTTATTTAGATAACTTGCTTGCATTCAATTTTAGTAAAGTACTAAACAAATAGCTCCAATGGCACTCATTTCTCATTGGGTAAGAGTTTCAGAAACCATGTGAGAAACTGGTATTCTTACTATTAGAATATGTTAGTTGTATTATGGCAGCACATTAGAGCCCCATTCATGAAGCATTTTCCTAGGCCTTGTGCAAATGCAAAGCAAAAAGAAACTTTCTTCCCTAAGGAATTTGTATTCTGAATAGATTGTGAGAACTTGGGAAAAAATTGTCAAAGGTATTTAAGCAGCTGAAGATGCAAATAAGCAGAGCCCTGCAAATCTGTAAATCTGCAGTTATCTGCTTTATATCTGTGGATCTGCAGATGTGGGTGCAGTTATCCATGGTTTACTTTTGTAGACACAAATTTTGGATTTAGAATCATGCAAATTTGCAGATATCCTTTTTATATCTGTGGGTATCTGTATCCGTGTTTGTCAATGCAGATATTCTAATACCATTTTTGCAGATGCAGGTGCTACAGGACTACTCGTTTTGTATCTGTGCAGGGCTCTCTAGATAAGTACTTAGTGGGATTTTCAAAAGCATGAACTCTGTTTAAGCCCTTAGGTCCTTAGAAGAACTCTTTCCTTTCTCAGCTGAGACAATAGTCCAGTTGAATTAGTCCAGGTTTACTCAAATGGGAGAGATCATCCACACTCAGAAGCAGCTACCTATTTCCAGGGGACTGGTCCTGTTTCCTCTTAAAGGGACACATCTTGTGATAAAAAGCTTCTACCAAAGGTTACAAAAAATGAGAAAGAAGGGAAAGATCCACTTCAGAGAAACATCAGCAATAGTGCCAGAACCATGGGCTGTTTGATTATTGTGAAAATCCCAGATTATGTCCCAGCCCAAGTTTGTCAGTGCCCAAGTTACAGTTGACAACATTAGGACACTGCAAATTGCCAGCAGCTGGTTGGCTGTGTGCACTCTGTCTACAAGGAGGGACAGAGCAGCGTGATCTACTGACCTTGTTCTGAGCATTACATTTTAAAAAACAATCATTATATTCTTCCTCTCACTTATGCATGTCCTACATCTGCAAATCAAGAAACTTGCACATATAGACAACATTTGCCTGTAAAAATCAGAGACGTATCTAATTTAATAACTAAATTCAGTTATTTGTAGATGGAAATGAGCAATAGAATGCTTGATTGCATCCTTGCATTTTGAAATGTATTACGAGCATGGCTAGAGTTATCCAACAGAAATACATTAGACACACTAAGCCTTTTGTAATCTTAGTTAATTTTAAGTTAACTTATTGCAAAATTAAATAACTGTCATGGTAGTTGCAAACATTACATCAGAATTCATCCTAGCCATACCCATTTTTACATCCTCTTTTGGATTTGCTGTCACTGCTTGTTGACGGACCACATGGTTTTCCATTGGTGACGGTACTTCTGTTTTAAAAGTACAAAAAGAGGAATAAAATTGTTTGTTCTCCAGTAAATGCTCAGACTGTCTACAGTAAATAAAGAGAGAAGGAATTTATCCTAAGTTTGCTGCAGTTGTAGTAGTGAAATGTTAGACTGTATGACTATCCACATCTTATACTGATTCTGAAAGGGTAAGTCTGGTTTTCTTTAGTTTGTCTCAGCTTATCTTTTGTTCCAGAATTTAGAGTCACTCTTATTTTGCTTAAATAACTTAAAATATATGTATTGATTTTTAAAGAATACTTTCTAAGGTTTGCATATTTTTGACATCTTGATTTAACACTTTGAACAGTTACCAAACATTAGAGGCACAATTTTCATAAATAACTTAGGCCCAGATCCTCAAAATTATTAGGCACCTAACTCCAATTGATTTCAACAGAAGTTAGGTGCCTAAATATCTTCACACATCTGGGCTTACCTCCCATTTTTCAAAAGTGAGTTAGTCATATAGTTCCCTGAGTTCCATTGACTTTTAATGAGATTTAGGCTCATAAGTGCCTGTGCCTCTTTTGAAAGTGGCACTTAGGAGGAGGCAATTTTAAAATTAATTTTTTTTTTTAAATTTTATGCTGTATCTTTGCATGTGTGAAAGGTATTGAAGATAAAGTAAATGATTAAATTATTTTAAGGTCTGAAGGATCAGTGTATTGTGCTGGTTTTGAGTCCTGGTGCCAGTCTTATGACATCTGAATTAGAGTGTGTATATTAATATGTGGAGTACTTAACCTTTTCCAATGCAGAATTGATTTTATTTTAAGGCTTGGTTTTGGCATCACACCTGCTCTACAGAAGTGTCTCTTTATATTAAACAGCTACTCTCTGATTTAAATGGATTTTTAAAGTGCTGGTGTGAGCCCTGCTAGCCTAGTCTATCAACTCTGAGCTGAGGTGATGTAGACAAATCCTGAGTGCTCTAGAGATGCACAAAGGAAGCAATCCCCCTGCTGTGCAGAGCTAACATTGCAAAGTATTTAGAGTGAAGAAGAGACTTTTGGTGTTCTCCCGCTTTATTCTCCCATGTAATGAACAGCTACAATGCGGTCCTTAGCCAATGTGGTTCAGAGCCACCTCCGACTGAAGTCAATGAAAAGACTCCTTCATTTCAGTGGGAGGCTTGACCAAGCCCTAAAGGCTTGATCCTGCTCCATAAACTGGAATTTTGCCATTGACTCCAAAGAGTGCAGGATTGAGCTCTGTGAGAGCAAATACAATTACGGTGTTACAGATGAAGGCATTACAGAATGTAGTAACTAACTAATTTGTGATATGTTGTTTTTTAATTATTCATGATAATGTTTCATACTGTACTAGTGGATGAATGCCATAAATTTAGTAAAATTATGGAATCTTAGTAATACAAGAGCTCGTTATAGTATCTGCTTACGTTTTGGCTAATAGTTCAGAGACACACCCATAACAACATTGTTATGTAATATGTGGTATTGCAAGATGCTGAGCACTCTTGGGAGGCAATGACCATCCTCCGCTCACAGTGAAGGCAGTAAAAGTTGACACCACTCAGTATCTCACAGGAGAGTTCAACACTTTGCACGAAATCCCTTAGTTTGCTTTAAAAAAGTCTGTAGAGGATTGATTAACATAATCAGCCAGAACTTCAGATGGTGAAATCAGGTGTTGCGCTGTTGCTTTCTGTAGAACTATGCTGATTTTATACCTGTTGAGAGTCACCTGATGAAAAGACTTCATGGATTAAGTCTTACTGAAAACAAGTCATGTGTAGGTAGCACAATTATCTCAATTCAAAAGAGGAGTCCACGACTTAGATGCTACAGAACATTAAGGATCAAATTTTATTTTTGTTGAAATGATGGCTTTATTTTGGTTATAAAAGTGAAATTGGTGAAAAAGCAATTTAATTACTGTTTGTTAAAATAACCCTTCACACATTACAGTCTGCATGAAACATACTTTTTAAAAAACTTTTTAATCCAATTAAGGATAAAACAACCCTTACACTTACTTTGCATTACCTTACATGGCTTCTTTGTGATTGCAGGAATTAATGAACTCTCTGTGTTACTGAGTCTCTAGCACTGATCAACATGTTGGCAGAAGGCATCCTAACTGGAATCATATACAAAGAAAGAAAACAGAACACAGATAAACCCCACAAATGTCACATGAACAGAAAAGATGAAAGGAAAACCTGGAAAGATCACCTTATAGGTACACCAGCAATTAAAGATTTTGCTTCAAAATCTGAGAAGCAGAATGAGACCATTGCAAAAGGTAGCAAAACTGAACATAATAAACAGCTTCAATGGAAATCTAAAGAGCTACCTGCAAAAGAACATGAAGTATATGTTAAAGGAACCATATCTACAGCTTTACATATACCAGGAAGAGAACAAAATTATGAAAACCAGCCAGATTTGTATAGATCCTGGTCATGCCAGAGTATTTATCAAAACTATCCTGACTTACATATTGGAGGAGATCATGTAGGAGACTATATGAGCGACTCAGGTTGCGTTATGGACCATATAAGTGATGAACTTGTTGAGGGCCCTATTTTACTGTCAGGAGATATTCCATTAGGCCATTCCTCTCTAAATGAGCATTTTGAAAAATCAGCTACAAAGTCCTTGAATGGTGATGACGGTGGAGAAAGGAGTATGACGCTCCACAAGCAGCCTCTTTCAAATTCTGTGCTGAACAACTACATGGATACAAAAGTGGAAGAGCTCTATAAACAGTTTTTTGAAGAAAACCTGACCAGATGTGGTTCTGTAACAAACCTCTTGACATCCAGTTTGATCATGAATAACATAAATCAGATAAGCCTTCAGATCTCCCAAGAACAGATTATAGAAACATCTAAAGCTAGAGAATTACTCTTACATTCTCTAGCTTTGTTTAGTTTCCGCAATGCTGCCAGTGGAAACAGTTCTGAATTTAGCACTCCAAATTTACAGTTCTCAAACTCATTAAACAAGAGAAGGAGCTTCCGGCCACATTTTAAATCATAACTGAACTGTTTAGCTACAGCCTAATCTTTAGCTGCCATCTCTTCTTTTTCAGGACTAGTTTGTGAAATGTATCGGAATTAGACACTACTTACTTTTCAAAATAAATGTTGACATTTAAGCCACATGTTGTGGTGCCATTCCTTGCTTGTTCCTGGACTGAGGTAAAGACCATGTGACTTTATGTTGTTGAATGTAATCCAAATGATTTTTTCTTACAAAATCATATTGAATCACATTTTCAAAGGGGCCTAAGCACAGTTTCTACGGGTATGTCTACACTACAATGTTAGTTCGAACTAACGGACGTTAGTTCGAACTAACATTTATAGCCGCTACACTAGCGCCCCCCTAGTTCGAATTTGAATCGAACTAGCGGAGCGCTTAGTTTGAACTAGGAAAACCTCATTTTACGAGGATTAAGCCTAGTTCAAACTTACTAGTTCGAATTAAGGGGTGTGTAGCCCCTTAATTCGAACTAGTGGGAGGCTAGCCCTCCCCAGCTTTCCCTGGGGGCCACTCTGGCCAACACCAGGGAAACTATATGCCCCCCTCCCGGCCCCGGATCCCTTAAAGGGGCACGGGCTGCCT